AGTTGTGTGCCTACTATGTACCCCCGTTCAAGAAGTGGGAATCTTACGGTCTGAATGAGAAATGCCAGCATTCACAAATTTTGTCAGATGTGTAAGTCTGGCTCTTAAGACATTTTACATTGACGTCTTATTATAGTTTTGTATATAGGCACTTTATAAGGGTCTTCAAAAAAGGGCTCTCAGGCAGAACAGGAGAATGTAGTCCAGTCTCAGGCTGGGGACTTTGTGGGCCAGACCTTTTGGTTGTCCGCTATGCTGGTTGTCCTAAAGATCAACTTGGACTAGTTGTGAGTTACTCCAGTTCCAGGCTTTGGTGACCTGTGAAAAATTTTTAGCCAACTATGTGTAGAATCAGCATTATTCTTTAGTACTTCAACATACCATTCTAGTGCTTCTGTTCTTAATTTTACACTCAAAAGCTATATTGTCAGTTTTGTTCTTTAAAATCTTGAGCCTCATGGTCAATGTATGTAGACTCTGGTATTTCCCAGAACCTGCTTTTATGAGTCAACCTGGTCAACTTCAGTGAGTAGTGAAGGTCACAGGGACAAATTCCAAAGTAAATGATTGATGTCTTTGGGGAATTTTTGAGGTTAAGAAGAGATCTTTGAAATGGTTTTGGCAAATTGACTTACCCCCCTCATACTTCTGGGTGATTGACTACCCATCACCTAACAACCACCTGAATACCACCCATCTTCCATTTGCTATTGTAAAGCAAAAGGCCTCTATGGCACCTCTAACTGACCTCATAGTGCCATAGTGCCCACCAGCTAGGTGTAATCTCTGCTCTTCTTAACTGATGAACAAATAGGCTCAGGGAAATACGTGACTGGACTGAGGTCATACAAAGCCAGGAGAACTCATTCTGTCTCCTGCCTACTTAGCTTTCCCCTTAGCTTCCTAGATGCCTACATTTTAGGGCAAAAAAGATTTAACTCTTTCTCCTAAAGATAAAGACACTCAGGTGCAAAGAAATTAACTGACTTTGTACAAAAATCAAACCTCTAGTCACTAAGACAACAGTTCAGGTCTCCCAGTGGCCAGGATAGAATAATCTTTTGGCAAAGTATAGATGGAAAGAAAATACGCTATAAAATCATCTACAACTGGGACCTATCAGAGTTCCAAAGTTCACATATGTAGGAGTTAAATGAGTTGCAGGCTCACTGTATGCATTCTAAACAAGAAACCAGATCAGAGGTGGAACACTGGCAGCTGGAATTTGGTCTGCAAACATGGTGGGAATTTGGCCTGCAAGTGCTGGCTTTAAATTTCAATTTGGCCAATATTAAAAAAACAAAAAAAAAATTGAGATGTTTAACATTTTAAAAATCCAGGTTTCTGTTTTTTTCTTGAACAAATCTAAAGGTCTGGCAGGTCTACATTCACATTCCCACCCCTGCCCATCAGCCAGAGCTGAGCAAAAGTTTCCCTCTTGGAGGTGGCAAGTGGTCTCTAGTCCCCAGACCTTTGCACTGCTCTTGGAGGCCTCCCACCCCTGGGGCCACGTGTCAGGTGATGCTCTGCCTGGCATTACCTTCCCCTGCTGGTATGTAGCGCTCTTCTCCCCTGGACTACATGAGTCCACACTGAGGAGCTTTTAACTTTCAATTGGATTATCTGACTTTTCTTTTTAAGGAAAAAAACCCCAACACTGTCAGAATCCAACTACAAGGAAGACTTGTCTGACTAAGGTTTTCCAGGTCAACAATTAGTTGGAGCTATGCTCCTAAAAACTTTTAGATAAGACAAAGACAAAAATGGAAAGGAAAGGTATTATAGCTTAAGTGGGCTGCAGTGGTTTGGCATTTCCCAGAGTTGTGGAGAGAAATACTTGGCTGATATTAAAATATACTGGTGACTGGAGCACAAATGTGTCAACCTTCACTTCTCCCCCTACACCCACGCTCCACGGAGGTGGTGGGTTTGAGATATGGGAACAGGATGTCAAAACTTCTCAGGCATGGAACAAGCTATAGAATGGACTAAAAATATCACAAGTGGAAGAGAGCCATATTCTGAGATCCTTTCTTTAAAAGGAGACCTGAGCTAATAATGCATGTGGTGCCCTCTATCAAAGGAGCAGGCAGCACTCTAGCCTTTAATTAAGTGGCCCAACACCTATCTAAGAAAGCCATTTGGTAACACATCCATCTTGGGGCCAACTGAAGCAGGAGCAGTTCAGAGCTGTGACGAATCCCCGCAAATACTAGGTTTGTAGGCTCTTCCTCCCCTGATCTCCCCACCCAACCCGCCCTAAAAAATTCCTGCCATGTTGTTTCATTGTGTGAATATATATGTTGTCTCATTAGGATGTTCCCATCAGAGGCCCATCTGGTGAACTCATCTAGTCAGATGGTTTTGTTACTGGTGTCAACCTTAAATTCTGATTTGGAGGCTTGGCGTGTGCGCTCAAAGTCCCTAGGTAGTGAGGAGTACAAAGGATGTGTGCCTTTCAGATGCAGCGTTCATGGACTGGTCCACTATGTAACTTTGACAAGTCACTTAACACTTAACCTCTCTGTGGGTACTCGTTTCCTCAAAAAAAGGCAAATAAAAGATGACCACGCAGCACAGCTGGTACACATTCCAGTAAGCATTCCACATTGCCTCCCTTCTCTTCATGGAATGCTACAAGCTTCTTAGCAATCAAACAGTTTGTCCCCACAGATGAGGAAATCAAGGCCCCCAGAGGTGGCCTCTCAGGCAGTACAGGGCAACTCTTGAGGCCTGGGCTCTGGTACTTTTTACCCAACACTGGTCTTCTCACATAAACCAGACCATGAGAGAGACTGGAGAGCAGGTAGGGACAGGGACAAGGCAGTCTCTGTGATTCCAGGAGCAAGTGTTAGCCAAAGGGCTTGTGGTCAGACCTGTTTTGCTGAAGCTTGGCATAGGCCTTACACACTCTCATCCTCCCCAACTGTATTTTGGTTGTCTGCTAAACCTCTGTAGACATCCAGGTTTGGTTTATCCAAACTAACTGGCTGAGCGGGCCTGTCAATAGTTTGGATTATTGGTCAACTAAATTAAAGCATGCACACTCCATCCAGCTTTATAAATCTCACCCAATTGCATACATACAGAAGTGACTCCAAGATAATTTCTAGGCTTGATTTCTGGTCCTTAGGAGAATGGTAGATAGACCCTGTTTAATATCAGCTTTCAAAGTGATGGCTTTTCCCAATTGCATTCATACAGAATTGGGACTTGTAAAATCACTGACATGTACAGAAACCCTGGGTACCTGACTCCCAACTATTCTTTAAGAAAGACTTCTCTAGCATGTTACACATTAGGAAATATATATGCTTCAACAGGAACCAGAGTTCTAGATCCTGAAGGTGAAATTTTACATGTCATATAGTATAACTGTTTCCTTTTCTATCTTGGGAGCAACTCAGTGTTCTTATGAGATTTCTTTTTAAAAATAAATTATAGAGTACTTATTTCTATCAACTGTTCATTTGTGGTCTGAAATTCACCTAAAGATGTTTCTTCTGTTAGCCACAAAGTCGAGGGACAGTGAAGGTCTCCCAAGATGGCTTCCCAGAAATGCTGTGGGGCATCTCCCCCATGATATATCTCAAACATAGAATATTCACTGTCATGTCAACCACCACCAAATCTCTTGATCACTAGACTGCCACCTTCTTCATGACCCTAAGAAATTATGGAAATATGTTGTCTAAATTTTATGAGAAACAACTACCAGGCTGGGTGGCTTAGTAAGCATTATATGAGCTGTGACTGAAAGCAGAGTAATTTATTCAGGTTGACTGAAAACCCACAGCCCAAACATAGATTCAAACCCTTATCTGAATATGCTATTTTAAACTTGATTTGTGGCAGGGCACAGACCAAATTTAAATCACTCATTTTACTGACTTGAGTCCCAAGCTTCAATTCTCTGGTGGATATTTTAATTTAAAAATAAGTTCTTGCCCTATAAAAATAAGCAGCACCAAGGAGAAATTCAAGATAGCCTGATCAGCCCAACAGGCAGAACAGTTACTTTGGTAAAAAAAACTCAAAAGTACTAAGGACATTATTTTCATTTCTGAGTTTAGAATATGAACTTTATGGTACAACTCTAGCTTATAATGCAGTAATATAGACAGGTATGTCTCTGAAACTGCTCCAGAAGATTTTTAAGTGATAAATGTAGGTCAACAGATGTTACAAAATGACCACACAATGCAATACTATGTAGTCATTGAAAATGCAGTGAGGAAGAGCTCAAAGGAGGTGAGAGGTCTTGGCCCTTCGCTTGACTTTCGTGGTCTTAGTGGTTCGCATTTTTCCAAGAGCATTGCTAACTTTCTAAACTGAATAAATAAAGTGATGGGCTTTAACAACAGCTCTCCTGTCTGCCCTTCCTGTTAAATTGCAGATCAACTCTTGTTTTCATGCCACTTAGTGAAAAAACACAACTCCCCAGTCCTCAGAAGGCTGGGAGGGAGTAAAGGCGTGGCTTGCAGGGTTTTCTAGTCGCTGAAGGAAAACAGGCTGTAGGCGCCCTTTTTTTAGCTACACTCCCGAGGGCTCCCACGTGTCAGGGGTGAGCAGAAGGCAGGCGCGGGGTGAAGGAAGAATCCGTACCAATCCTTCATAGTCCAGTGCTGGTGAAGGGTGCATTTAAGCTTTCCCATTTCCTCCCTCCTCAATCCCCCATAGTAAGCTTCCCGGTTTTACTTGTACCTTACCGAGCACAAGTCTGCAGAGTATGCAGGCACCAGCGGGGAGAGACGTGATGTGTTCTAACAGCGATCGCATGCCAGTTAGTCTGGGGTCAGTGCTCGGACAACTGTCAGCCTAGAGCTACTCCCAAAGTGGACAGGGGGGCAAGCGGGAGGGTGAACAAGTGTAAACAAAATTCTTTTATATTTAAATAAGCAAGATGCCACCTGCCTCTAAGAGTCTAGGAGTGGGTAGGGGGACACAGGAGTTGCTGGAGGTCTCCTGGGAGAGATGACGTGGGTGGCACCTGGGCTTACCTTGCAAGGAAACAGGACTGCCGAAGCCACCTTCTCCATAGCCAGATTCCTGATGCTGGGCGTCAGGGCGCCCCTGCACGTCGGGCAGCAGCTCAACTTCTGGCGGCATTGGTTACACACCAGGTGCCCGGCCTGGCACTGCAGGATGGGGGGCAGGACATAGTCAAAGCAGACCGGGCATTCGAAGAGCGACGTCAGCTCGTGGTGCTGCGGGGACACCGGGCCAGCCCCGCCGCCGCCGCCGCCGGGGCCCGAGATCACCGCCGCCGCGGCGGGCACCGCGGACGAGCCCGGGCCCGCAGCCGAGATGGTGGCGGCAGCCGGGGGAGCAGCCGGAGACGGAGCGTGTTGGGGCTGCGGCGGCGGCTGCTTGCTGCAAGGTTTGTTAGCGCTGGGGCCGGTGGAGGACGGGCGGCTCATCGCGCTCCGAACCAACCATGGAACTGTCTGCCTGCCGCGGGGCCGCCGGGGTCAAGGCGGTGCGCGCCCCGCGGGCGGCGGGCTCCGGGGCAACGCCACCACGCCCAGCCAGGGACCCGGCAGCGCAGACGTCCAGCGTCCGGCAGGCGGGGCGCTGGACCACACTGACGATCTCCGCGGCCCACGGCGTTCCCAACACCCCTCTGCTCCCCCAGACTCCTCCTCCCGGCGTCGTCGCGGGCTGCGAGCCCGAGTGGCGGGCAGAACCCCGGCCCACCAGCGTCTGGAGCGGCAGCTGACGCAAGCCCCGGGGACGCGCGCGGACGTGACGCCTGGACACGTGTGCGACCGCCCAGGCGCGCGGGGACTGGCAGAGCCACCCTGCGCTGAGGCGCTGGCTCCGCCCGACTCCGCCCGACTCCAGCTGGCAGCGCAGCGGGCCGCCTACCGCCGGCGTTTCCTGCCGGGGCTGCGGGCCCGGCCTGCGCCAGTGAGCATGCCCGGCTCTTCGTGGCCGTGCAGGGTCTGCTTTTCCGGCTTGGGGAGGGGGCCGCCCTTCGGGAAGGCGTCGCCGAAGTCCTCAGGCCACACCCGCGAAAGCCAAGCCGAAGGACCATTCAGGCGGGGCGGGGACTTGGGTAGTGGGCGGGGTCGACCTGTGGCGGGCCTGGACAGGTCGGAAAAAACCGAGAGGTTCTCTAACCAGGTTGAGTCACCAGCGCATGAGGTCGCGTGCTGTGAGGCCAGCGGGCTCTTAGCCAGGAACCCGGGGTCAGGACGCGGAGCTTTGGGCTGCCGCGGGACAAGGGGTTCAGGTTTGGTTTGCAGCCGGCACGGGATTTAGGGTTGGGCTGTTAAGGGTGGATTAAGGCCACTTCTTGGTCCTGCTCCCCAGGGTGGGGAGGACGTATACTCTATTCCTTTACCAGCGGACCTAGCGAAGGCTTCGTGGAATTGAGCGCCCCTGACTTGGATAGCAGGCCAGAGAGGGAGTTCAGGGACAGAGGTGGCTGAAAGGAGAGTTTGAGATCACCTAGGAATGCCAGAAATGTGGGTTGGGTTGTGAGGCCCCAGGAAGAGAGTGGGTGACCCTCCAGTGCAGCACAGTGCTTTGCTATCTCGGAGATCCCGCTGAAGCCCAAGGCTTTGATACAAGTGTAGACACACCCTGCACACCCAGCAGAAGCCCTAGAAAGATGATAGCGTGAGTGAACCACACGTTTATTTATTGTATGCAGTGTGCTCAGAGTTGCTTCTCTGCGTCCTTTGAGCCGCTGATAGTGGAATTAGGGAGAAGGGGCTAGATGGGAATCAGATGATTCGCTGTAGGAGAGACTGTGGTGGGGAACATGTCAAGACTGGGTGACTTCAGGCAAGTTATTTAGCTTCTCTGTATCTCCATTTCCTAATCTGTAAAAGAACAAGAACAGTGTCTATTTTATAGGTGGGATAGTGAGGATTAATGAATTTGATACATGCCAAGAACCTGGTTCATCATTAGAACTACTTAGTCCTTAGATGTTATTTTAAAATATATATATATTATTAGTGAATGTTTAATATCAATGAATATCCATGAATAAAATCTAAGAAATACACTGATAGATCCCAAAAGAAGTAAAGTTTAATCTTATAAAGGGCATCTAGGAAGACTATGTACATGGAATGGTGGGATTTGAATTAAATCTTGCAAAAAATTTATGTGATGTGATGTCATTCCATCATTCACTGAATGTTTCCTGAGCATTTATTATGTGCCGCCCACTGTTTGGGTTCTGAGAATGGTTCTCATTTAGTTTATATTCTAGTAGGGGAACGATGCCAATAACCACTCATGGAAGAGGATTTCAGTGGAATAGGTGGGGTGAGGGCGGGCATAAAGAAAGACATTGTTGCTGGAGCCGAAGCACAGTGAGTGAGATACGGATTTGGGAGTGCACTGGGATATGGGGGAGAAAATCAGGTGACTCATGGGATCCTCAATTAGCCTAACACCTTTACCTCAATGATAGGGGGTAACTACTGTACTGGGGTAACCACTGTAGATTTTTGAAAAGCAGTGTAACATTGTTGGATCTGAGTTTTGGGAAGGGTGCTCTGGGGAATGAATACAAAACAATAATAACTAATATTTACTGAGTGCCCACTATGTGCTAGACATGGATAGTTCTAAGGACTTTGCAATGACCATACATGACGGGTACTATTATTATCATCTCAATTTTATAGTTGAGGAAACTGAGACAGGGAAATTCATTTGCTCAAGATCGCAAAGCTGATAATGCTGGGATATGCTTCAGAGCCCTCCTCCTTAACTACTAGTCTATATGCCTTTCCATTATGCCTGACTCCTTTTTACACTCTGGTTAAGGAGTTAAGCATACTCAACACAGTCAGAAAACAGTTGCATAGCCTGTAATAAAGCACTGAATTTTGTAGGCACCCTTTACATAAATTTCCTTAGTTGATCTTGAGAGGAAAAAATTAAATTGTATTCTCTTCATCCTACTTTTACCTTTTTATAGCATAAAGATCATAACAGTGACAACAAAATCACCCACAGTTTCACTTTTATTGGAGAAAATAGAATACTTTCCACTTTTAATTTGAAACTCAAGCAAGTGGAGTTTATTACCAGAATTAATTTTCTTTCCCTCCACCTCTGGCCTCTCAATATCCCCCCTCCCCTAGCCCCCGGGGCTTACTAGCTCTCACGGGAGAAGCAGGGTCCCCACCTTGCCAAGTTGACCTGAGTTTTCAGTGTTCCAGCCAGCTAGACCCTGGTTGTTTAAAAAGCAATTTGGCTTTGGAGGTGTAGAAACAAAGAACAGAAAAGCAATCCTCTGTAGAGAGAATATGGTTTATTTTTCTAAAAATACTCCTAACTCATCTAGTCTTAACCTGGCAGATGCCTCCCACGGTATGGAGAAATTTCTCCTTGCTTGCTCCTTCATATCATTGCACTCATGATTAGGTCGACCAGGGTAATTCAACAACAAAAATTCTCTGGGCAGTTGCTGCTGGTAGGTGTGCTGTTGACTCACATCAGTGACTTCTCCAGGCTGCCAGGCTGGCCTTTCCAGTCTTCCTTCTTCCTTGGGAATTTCGAATCAGAAAAAGGTGGCTTTTGCACACTGGACACTGCAGACTAGATCACTCTCTACCAGGAGGGCCTGTGAGCTGAGTTCAATTGTCTATTTGCCCTTGAGAGTTGCTGCTGTTTCTGGGCTTGTGTTTAATGGAGGAATCGGTGGCCTGGGGAGCTGGGGGAGGGGACTCCAGCCTTTTGTTATGTCCTGATTCATGACTCATTTGCCACAACTGCTGGATTACAGTTTGGCCTCCTTTCCCTCACACAGGGAGTCCTGGATTGTACAAAAGGGACAGGCCACCGCTCCTTAACCCATCACCCACTTTGCACTATCCTTTAAAGACTAGGGGTGTAATGAGTAACCTTTCTTTCCTTAAAATGTCAGGGTGGATCCTATATTTAAAAAAAAAACCTCACAGGTGAGCCCCTTATTTTACTGAAACTGCTGAGCACACTGAGAAATGCTCCAGCTAGGCAGACAAGCTCTTGTCCTTCTTTCTGTAACTTACAAATTGTGTGGTTTTGCAAATTGGGTAACTTCTGCAATCAAGTGAATGGTGTGCATTTTCAGGGCTTTTTCTGTTTAGATGTAGAGATGACTCAGGAGTGCACTGGAGCTTGCTGCCTGGAAATTTCTGATAAGGGGAAAGCTTGTGGGAAATTTAGAGGTGACAGTGAGGCCCCTGGTAATTATGGTAGGAACTTTTACCTTTATAAAGTACTTTTGTTTCTGGGGTAATTTCCACATGCTCAAACTTCTTTTGAGTAATCATGGGCCATTTCAGGCCAGCATTTCTTGAATAACCACTATGTACTTACTTACCTCTGTGTATTGCAGAGAATGGGTATATGCATTCTTTTTGTACCCATACTTAGCTAATATTTCTCTAGTGCTCACCCTGTGCCAGGTACTGTTCTAAGCACTTTACATATTTTAATTCTTTGAATCCTTACAATGTCTTCTATAAGATTGGTGTTTACACATGACAAAACATTTAGAGAGAGGTCAGGTTAATTGTGAACCTTTAAAATGGCTCTAATGATCCCTCCTCCAGGGTTCTTCCCCTTACATAATCCCCTCACTTCAAGTGGAAGCTGGACCTATTGACTTCCTTTAAATGAATAAAATATGGCCAAAGTGATGGAGTGTCACTTCTGAGATTAGGTTACAGGAAGACTAAGGTTTCTGTCTAATTCTCTGTCTCCTTGTGTGTCTGTCACTGAGCTCTCTCTGTGGGTGAAGCCAACTGCCTCATTGCCAGGAGCGCTGTGAAAAGCCCCACACCATGAGGAACTGATGTCTGTGGCTAATAGCCAAGAAAGACCCCAGGCCTGGCTACAATTTAACTGAATTTGTGAGACCCCAAGACAGAGCACCCAGTTGAGCTGCCATTCAGAAACTGCAAGATAATCAATGTGTTACCACTAAGTTTGGGGGTAATTTGTTACACAGCTACATGTAACTAATATACTGCCCAAGGCCCAAAATCTTATATGTAAAGAGAAATGCAAAGTATGGACCTTCTATTTTGTTTCTCTTAAATTATTTTGTTATAATGCTACTTAAGTATTATAATGCTACTGAAATCTAGGAGTAAAATTTTGATTATTATATACAGCTATAAAAACAAATTAGAATACCAAAGAGTCCAGAATTCATCCTTTATTTCTCATTGTTATTTAAATGCTTATTTAATAAAAATTTAAAAATGATAATTTCAGGTGATGGAAGATGTACTAAAATGAAATCATTATTTAGTTTGGGAACAACTTCAATGTCCATCAACAGGAAAATGAACTATGTAAAGTCATCCTACAAAATCCTCTGCAACTTGGAAAAGGTCTCTAAGACAAATTTCTATATGAAAAAAGCAAGCTGCAACCAAGAAACCCCCAAGCAATCTCCTTTATGTAAAAAAAAAAAGCAAGCAAAATGTAACTGTTTCTTTGCATCCTTAAAAGAGCACAGAAAGGTCTGGAAGGAGAAAGCGAACTGATGACAGTGATGGTTTCTGGGGAGAGGAATATGAATGGATGTCAGGGAGCTATTTGTTTTCTCTATATTTCTGTAGTTTCTTTTTTTCTTTTCTTTTGTTTTGCAGTGAGACTGTATTCAT